CCCCAAAACCCCAAAACCCCAAAACCCCAAAACCCCGCGAGATAGATAAGATATTGAAAGGATAAATAAAATTATGGCTCTTCCTCCTTCTTTTTTGTTGGGCTTGGATAGATCCATTCTTTACCAGGCTTGTAGTTGCATAGTTCGTAGAGACTATCTCTTGTAAGCATGTTTTCGAGACTAGCATTGACATTTCCATCTTCTTTTAGTAGAGAGAGGAAGCTTTCTACTGCTTTCATTGCAATCCTGAGAGTAGATACTGGGTAAATCACGATGTCATATCCAATTTTCCCAAATTCTTCAAAGTCGATGATAGGGGTTTTACCAAACTCGGTCATATTTGCCAAGAGGTAAGTTTTAGGAGAGTATTCTTTGAGCTCTTTGGCCACTTGTTCAAATTCTTCCAAGGAAGCCAAACCTTCTGGGAATATCATATCTGCTCCTGCATCAATATAGAGCTTTGCTCTTTCAATAGTAGATTCAATTCCTTCCACTGATCTTGCATCGGTACGAGCACAGATTATAAAGTCTCCTTCAGAACATTCATCTCTCGCTTCAGCAGCAATTTTGACTTTTGAAACAAAATCTTCAGATGGGACAAGAGTTTTTCCTGAAAGATGACCACACCTTTTTGGAAATACTTGATCTTCGATGTGAAGACCAGCAGCTCCAGCTTTGTTGTATTCCCAGACAGTTCTGGCTACCATTTCTCCTTCTCCAAATCCTGTATCAGCATCAGCAATAATAGGAAGCATAGAGGAGTGATAGACTTCAGATATGATCTTTGTAAATCCATCTATAGGAAGAAGGCCAATATCTGGAACTCCAGATGCTGTAGTGACAGCTCCTCCTGACACATAAGCACATTCATAGCCCTGACTGGCTACAATCCTGCCTACGAGCCCATTGAAAGCTCCTGGGCACATAACGCTCTTAGAGTCCATTAGGTCTCTTAAGATTCTTCCTGGATGTGATTTTGAGTTCATATTTTTATTTTGCACTTTCACTTTAGATTTTTACTAGAGGGGTTTTGGGGTTTTGGGGTTTTGGGGTTTTGGGG